AGCAGCTTGGCGCTCGGCATGCTGCCTCCTAATCACATCTACTTTTTCGTTCAGTGATTCGTCGTTGCTCGACGCTTGTCTCGGCAACGGGGGTTTCCTCGTGATTCGATTTTCTTCTGGTTCTTCTTTGGGCATCTCAGCATTCTTTATAAGCGGAGAAGGACTTGGTGGCGTTATTGGTGACTTCGGAATTGGACTACTATCTGGCCTGGGCGACGAAAGCGAAGCTGCACGCTCCGGTCGAGGAAGATTCAGTGGAACTGGCTTCGAAGGTGGTTTACGTTCCTCCACACGAACAGGAGCCGCTTGCTGCTATAATAGAAAATTCTAGCTAGTCTACGGGCTTTGCTGATCATTCCGGTGTTACCTCTTTCGGTGTATTTTCTGGAGCAGGGGTTGCATTTAGCGATGAGGCTTCTGGAGGTTTGGACCATGGGCTTCTTCCGACTTGAGATCGCTCAGGTTCGGACGATGATGCTCCATTTCTGTCGGATGGTCCGCGAAGACGATTCCAAGCTTCTTCCTCTAGTTGTTGACGACGACGATATCTGATTGAGCCTTCGTCGAGATCACGTGCACTGGAAACAAACATTTCTTGTACTCTTTTTCAGAGTGCAAATGTAAAGTAAGCTCTTTTTTAGAGTTCATTTTCATGCAGGATTGATGATAGTTTTTCAAGCTCTAAGGCTAAGAAAGTGTAAAAAACATCTCGCAATCACTCCGTCAACTTTCTCATCCATCTCGTAACCTCACGACCAAGGTAGACTTCATATCAATCTTTAAAACCTTCAAAAAACTCACGTGACTCTAGATGACGGCCGATCCCTGTCGTTAGCCCTTGCATCCTCGTGACGAGAACGATGTTGATCGCTTTCTAGAGGTAGACGGAAAGGACGTGGCAGATATGACTGTTCCAATGGTAAATATCTGAAGAAAAAATAAAAATAATGTTGAATTTCTAAAAAAAATTACAATCATACCAACCTTCCGGCGAACTGAGGCATGAGCACACACAGTTCTCCACAGGTGGCAATAGACTGAGGCAATCTGGCAGCATCATCTCCAGCTGAGAATCTAACTTTGCGATTGAATAGCTCGTCAGCATCAGGCTAAATGGATGATCTCATTTTGTAATCCAGAAAAGCGAAAAAATTCTAGATTACCTGGAAATTTCTTAGGTACTCCAAACCCTCGGAAAAGGTGTTCTTCAAACGGACAAGTTCCGAATCTTCGAGAGTGCATTCTCCCTAGAATTGAAAACATTCACAGCAACAGATTTTTTATTTGGAAAATTATTACCTTCAAAGCTGCATCGAGTCTAGCCACTGCCTCACTCATATTTGACGATTCGATCTCGAGAACATCGCGTAAATTACTCATCAGCCTACTTTCCGTAGCATGGAAAGAATCGATCTCGTTCAAGAATGCATCTTCTCGTTTCTTCAAATCACGCTGATGTCTAAAAGAAGCTTTATTTGATTTGCGATTAACAAAAAAAGGCTAAGTGGAAAATCTGAGAAAATATTTTCCATCTGAAAATGATCATCAAAAAAATCGAGGAAGTGAAAGTACCTATGAAAGTACTCCTTGACCTCATCCTTGGTGGTTTCGCAGTTCAATGTGAGAA